CACATTTTCATTTTCGTATATACTTGGTACATATGGACCCAGATAAATAACGTGGGCAATTCACTGAGTACCTACAAACCTTAGTTAAGTTTTGAGTTTGCGCTGTGGTTCCAAATTGTGGGAATAGTAGCCTTAGCTCTGGAAAAAATTATATATTTTAAATTTGTAGATTCTTTTCTGACGCAATAAAAAACTGGATACAATTATTGTATTATAAAATACACTGCACTGCTCACAATATTCATTATTGATAGCATCAAGACAAAAGAGAAAATATTGTTTCCTATTAAGATGATTTAGAAAAAAAGGTTCCGTCAACTTACCAATCGAAAGCCATAAATTTATGATAAACGTTTCAAGTATATTTAATCAAAATATTGAATAACTCAAACAGCTTCCAAGTTAAGATGCTTTATCTGCTACTTGCCATACTTACTGTCATATCGAAACATTTTACGTACAAAGCATTGCATACATTTCAAAGGCACAAGCATCTATTAAAGTATCTCAATATTACACTGAGATTGCAGCAAAAGAATTAAGAAACCTCTGCACTGAAAGCTTCCAATGGAAGATGCAAAACACCACATCACCACTGTAAGCTTGTTATTTTTAAAGCATTTTTAAAAAACCTGCACCATAAATCTTTATTATCAATTCTACTTATTTAAGATTTTTCGAATCACTGACCATTATTCGATTTTACGAAGTTATCCTTGTTGGAAGCCACAACTACAAGCATCCCACAGAAAAGTGAAATAATAGCAAATAAAATCGAATAAAATACGATTCTATAGGATAAGGATGTGTACTTATGTGCATATAATCCTCTCAGCTTACAGGCCATTCAAACATTCCATATTATTTAAATATATGAACAACTTTTTCGTTTACTTGCAAATGTTTGGTTTATTTAAAATTCAGTTTAAATTATTTTGAAAACTATCCATTTTTTAATTGTCAGAAACTTCAATAAAAAAAAATTATGTAGTACAATATTATGGTATCAAAATTAGTTTTTGCCAGTGCAGTCATAGTAACAGCTACAACATTCTTCCTATTCGGAGCCTATTGCCAACACGTCGACGTATTGAGAAACTTACAAAAAGTCATACAAAATGACCCATACGCGTTTTTCATGCGCTCCAAACTATATGACTCTGTGAGTAAATTAATTTTGATTCATTTCCTAATAATACCTAATAATAATAATAATAATATTTACAACAACTTTTATAAGTTTCGATTTTTCGGAATCAACGAAGATGAATATGAGGAACCAACACGTATGCAACAGATCATGAAATATGGTTTTCCTAGTATGGATGATGTGCGCCTTTATTCCGATTTTGTACTCTCCTATGATCGTAGAAATCGTGTTGCACATTGGGTATACGAACATTTAACTGCAAACTGCCTTAGAAATAATGCCGGTGTTAGGAGGCGTTATGCACACTATCTACCAGACATGAGTGTACCATCAAATTTTCGTACAGATACAACTGATTATTCATGTTCTGGATTTGATCGTGGTCATTTGGCTGCAGCTGGCAATCATAAATGTCAACAAATGCATTGCAATGAAACGTTTTATTTAACCAATATTGCACCGCAAGTGGGAAGAGGATTTAATCGTGATGCCTGGAATAAATTAGAAATATATATTCGTGAGCTAACTGAACGTTATAATTCTGTGTATGTTTGCACTGGACCACTTTATATGCCAAAAGAGAAACCGTCTAATAAGTATTGCGTAGAGTATCAGGTAATCGGACCAAAAACTATAGCTGTTCCAACACACTTTTTTAAAGTTATTACTGTGGAATCAAAACTACCTGGTGGTAGTCCGTATATGGAAGCATACGTAATGCCAAATGCACCAATAGACAGCGATATTGATATTCGTGGCTTTCTCAGTGATATTAAGATTATCGAACGAAATTCTGGTCTGCAATTTTTTAAAGGTATAAGACGTTGTGAGTTTTTCGGTACTAATTTTAAAACTGTTCATGAGTTATATAAAACATTTCAATAAAAACCAGGTTTAAACGTTTAATTACTTGCAATTATATAGTATCTTTTTGGTACCTGATACGTATAATATATCTTTAAGTTTCAGTGATAAATATTTAAGTTTATTACAGTACAACTCCTAAAGAAAAGCATGCATATTAACGATTATTTCATCTATAATGTATCTAATCACGCACTATAGATGGTTATTACTTTTTCATATAACACCGGCTTAAATACATAGCTACTAAAATAATTAAATACTTGATACATAGGTATCAACTATGTATATCTAGAGTAATATCTTCTTTATAAAACTTTAATCAACTCCGCTGAATGTTTCAGCACCCGTGAATAAAGTATATTGCCTGCACTACGTAATCTTGGCTAGTCAGTCGTCATATCATTCATGAGATACCGTACATGTGAGATCATTTTTGATAAGCTTTTGATTAGCTTAAAGCTCTCAATAGCAATTTCAAGATTTAATTTAAAAAATTTGAAGATTTTAAAGCTGATGAACTGAGAAGGTAGTTGAAGAACCGTATATACATTTACGATGCATATATATGTATATATGTTGCTTTAGTTCTGGTACTTAGTTTTGAAGCATATATCTTAACTTGAAACTCGGAAGTGAGTTTGTGACGTTAGCAACTATTTTAGTGACTATTTTCTTAACCCTGACACTGAGCTTTAAACTTGATAGGGTACGAGTTCAACCTATGGTACTTATATTCTCAGTATTTTTATTTCAATTAGTAGTGATTTCTTTTTTATTTATTTGGGTTCGCGGAACTTTACCTCGATTTCGATATGATAAATTAATATATTTATCATGAAAGTATTATTTACTAAATTTTTTATTTTATTTTATTTTATTTTATTTAAAAATTTTAATTTATTTTATTAATCTAACCTATAATTATATTTACAAATTAACTCAAAAAATAATTCTCAGACCATTGATGATGAGTATTTGGCAATACCCGAAACAGCTGTATGGTCAGCCCAGAATTCAATTAATTAAAAGTTAATAAAAACGTTGTTGTTACAATTCACTATTACTTGAAACTTCTCTATAACAAAAACATAAAAAATTAAATATAAGAAAAAAAATAAAAAAAGTTTAGTAGCAGTTTACCAAACCTGTTTGAGGCACAGAACCAAACTATTGCAAAAAAAAACAAACTCATTTGTATACAAAATACTGAATTCTTTACCATGAACCGAACTATATTTTGTATTAAAAAACAAAGCAAATCAAATAACTGGTTCATTGAATTCTCATACCACTGAAATGGATCACTTCCAGAGTTGAAACGATTTAGTCTTCATCATCATCCGTGACTATTCTGTCCACATAGGACCTAAGTCTGTTTAACAACAGTCTTCCATTCTTCTCTGTTTTTTGCTTTTGTTTTCCAATTTCTTATGTTCAGTTCTTCTAAGTCCTGTCGCACATTGTCTTTCCATCGTTTTCTTGGTTGGACTCTGAGCAACTTCGTTCTCGGGAAGCGATTTAGTATTCTGGTTCAAACCTATATTTTTATTTCTAATATTATTCCTTTTTATTCCATGACTATGGGCTCTTACAACTTTAAACTTACGCATGTTAGAGTTACATCATAAATACTATTTATTATTTTATTGTTCTAAATAGTTTTTATCAGATTTTATCAGATAATGACTTAAAACCTTAAGATAAAGTTTTCCTATCACCGATTAAATTGACACCATTATCTGTTTTTCTCTATAAACTGCTAGTCTATCACTATCAAATACTGCAATTAGCCTTATTTTACATATTGACTTATTACTCCAATATACGGAATTTATGATTTATATTTATATTAAAAAAATCATAAATTGCACTACATTTACATATTTAAACGCCACACCAATACACAAAAATTATAACGACTACTCTCATTACTACTTGCCTTGTCTATATTTTAGTGTTATTCATATCATCACTGTTTCGAGTAACCTTAAAGTCTTTTTATACCACATAGTATTCTTTTAATTAAACATTCTATTTTTAAAACATAATAGCAATACTGGAAACTAAAGATTACGGACCTTCATTAAAAATTGTAGAAATAAAAATTAAAAAATAAATAGGGAATGAAATTAAATTACAATTGCAATTGAACCTGAAATCAAAAGAAAAAACTTATATTGAATTAAATTAAAAAAGGGACCCATTCAAGTGGAAACTAAGCAATTTACAGCAACAAAATCGAGATAAGTAGTAAATACAAAAGATATTAAAAAAATAAATAGAAAATGACTTAAAAGAAGTCATTGTTGAAACCGAGAAACTGGAAGGACACGATTATGTGTCTTCTATTGCAATGGCGGCAATAGAAAATAGAGCAATTTTATTGGGGGAAGTACAATTAGTTTCCGAGCTATAATTAAAAATGTTCCATCAAGCAAGAAGAATAGTATAGAAATGATAGTAGTTTCTGCAAAACAAAAAAATGTGTATATGTATATATAAAAGGAAATAAAAAAAAATTTTTACTGCAGTAAAATTATAAAATCATTGAATCATTCAAACACCTTCTAAGCATTAAATTCTTCTATAAAAGTCACTAATCTTGTCATTCTTGCTACACTTTAATAAAAGTTAAAGTTAATCTTTATATATGTTTTAGATAGTCAATATTTGGTATATAAAATCAGAAGAAATTTTAAAAAGGTTCACAAAATTTTATTTGTAATCTTAACTTTATTTTATTTCATTTGAAACTATAAAGGTTTTTCTTTTTCTTTTTGCTTTTGTTTTATTATTTTTTTTTTTTTTTGAACTCATCTTAAACACACTAGAAAGTCATATGTGATTTTACCTCGGAATATCGTTACGTTTGCTTAACAACCCAAGAAACGACCGTGTGCGCCATAAAAGTCTACATTGTATTCCAACCGAACTTAATGCTCTGCCTTATGAGTCTACCTAAGATTTCTGCTCTGTTCGGAACATGGCACAGGATACCCAATCAGCCATTCAAGCACTTAGTGCTGAATGTGAAATACAGAAAGCAGAAAGTTTTATCTGCAAATGACATCTTAATAGTGTTAAAATGCTGATTCAGCTCGGAAATAGCGCTGGGAATGCGATTTAAGTTCAACTTGGCAAATTAATATGTGAAAATAATCAAATATTTGAAAATTGACATTTTATGTTAAGTCCTTTTAAGGAATTTTGAAAATTGGTTTGTTTTTACCCGCATTCATGAGTGAGTGATTTATTATGGTCATTAAGGAGGAAATTTAAATTTAAATTGTAATTATTACAGTACAGTTTAAAATTTTAAAATTTATTAGCGATAGGAATTATTATTGGATCACGACAAAAACTGCATTGCATATTAAATTCTATTCATTGAACTAAGGAAGGATTGAACTATTTATTACATGGAATGTATTATCACATGGAATATGCTATTAATACGATAAACTAGCAGATCATCGGCAATACTAACACAATAATTAATAGTTGAAATAGAAGAGAATGATTATTTTAGGTTACAATTCATCGAAACTGAAACTCGTACAAAGAGAAGTTTTTAATTTATTTAAGCTTAGTTAAAAAAAAATTACACATGTCTTGTATAAAATCGTTTAAATTATTATAACAAGCATTTAAAACTCAAACCCGCCTCCTGTTGCATATGCGACTGTTGTGAACCTTTACTATTTGTCTCTGAACTTGGACACAAATATATGTCCACAGATCCATGGACCATTTTTAAATATTACAAGCATCAATGTAAGTTTAATCTGTATCAGTTAGTTGATATCTATTCTTTATGAATGTTTATGTATCTGATATCAATATATACATATATGGAATATTAAATAATTCAAATCTAGCCAGTATTTTCCATTCTGTAGATACATAGGATTTAGTTTTTCTAAAGTTGATTGTGGAACTATAATATTTTACAAATATATAAAAAAATTATAGTAATATTACAAAAAAATATACAAAATTACAATCCTTTGTACTCTCAAATAGAAGTTTAGTATATGAAGATTTGGAGAACTTTGTAAAATTAATCAATTGAATAATTATATTTTCACAAAATTCACTTTAAATTTACTTTAACGACTCACACTGCATGCATGTCTTTACTCTTTCACAAATTTTCTTCTACTAATTCCCTCTCTCTCCGTTTTGCTGGTGCTTGACAGCTATAGGTGACAGTGCTGCCAGATCTGAATCACACACAAGCATTATTATTATTTAAAATTATGATTATAAATATTTAAAACATTTTTTCCTTTTATACAAAGCATAGAGAATAAACAAGTTCGTTCATTCGTCTCAGGTACCACCAAGTAGTCTGGGTTACTGTTAGGATCTTTGTGATTTATACAGTGAGATTCTTCCTCTGGTTGAGTTTGGTTACAGTGTCATTTTTTTCAACATTTTTTTTTTTTTTTCAATGCCATTGTCTGTCCTTTAATTCTATATAAAATAGCTATTAATTATACTCTACCTCTTATTTCTGTTTGAATCACTTTATAGGCTATTAGCGGTTTTTTATTTTTTATTTCTATTTTCACCGGCTTATCGGCTAAGTATAATAAATGTTTTTTATTTTTTATTTCTATTTGAACCGGCGTACTAACTAGTAGTTTTAGGTATTCATTATTACTTATCCTATTAAGCCGAAATATACCCCATATTTCTATCAGGCAGTGATTGACAAAATTCTACAATTAGATGGTAACATCTTTAATAGATTCACATGATTCCTGACTTTACATTGTATTTGCTTTTATTCAGGTGTTAAAATTTTGCTATATTATAGGTTGTGATATATTATGTGTTCGCCATACATTATTAATGTATAAATGTATATAATATCGTCACCAGGTGGTTGAATTGATGACTTTTGTCATTATGTTTATCACTTTGAATTTCACCATTAAAGAATTTGCATCTGCTTATAAGTTCAATTGTTTTAAACAAATTAGTCCATTGGAAATTGTATATCAAGGACAGCAAGTATGCCTAGTATGCCCAAATTAGTTAGTGTAAAATATATCATCCATATACTCTAAACATTACAGGACTACAAATGCATGCAGCTGAGTGGTTGGACAAATTCTCAAATCCTCATATATTTTCTTCATACTAATATTGTGCACAATGAGGAAAGGCAGCGGTCTTATATAAAGTTATATATTTAGTTTTTATATTCTTAACCGGGCGTAGGTCGTTTATTTAGCACATCACTTAATGAAAATGTTTTTATACCTAAAATAAAAAATTACGCTTTTTACCTAAACAGTGTTAAATATTAAGTTACATAGAATTTTTATTAAAAAAATTAAAAAATTATTTTAATTACAGATATTTCGGTCAACTTCGTAGACCATCTTCAGTGCATAAAGCTTATATATATATTTTTTATATTTTTATATAATGTTATACAAAATATATATAACATATATAACAAAAAATTAATGTTACATATTTTTATACATTACTAGTAATATAATTCATCATATTAACTGGACTTTTGTTTTTAACAATCCAAACATATCAGTTAAATTAAATTCAAAATTTCCGCTGAAAACATAATACAAACTATTAAAAAATTTGATTGAATGAAACCTTTTTTTATTATCCTTGTATATTTTATATTTTAATAACATAATTTTTTTTTTATAAATTATTTTCATTTCTTAACCATTTCATTATGCATAAATTAGTCCTTTTTCTGAGTGCACTACTGAAAGCAAATTTATAACCAAAATAGATTTAATATTTTGGTTTCGGTTTCACAATAAAGAAACGCAAACATATTCCCTCGATTTGCTTGAGGCTGTTGACATTTAATTTCCTATTATGTTTTTGTATGCCAACTACTTTCAAGTTAATTATAAGCAGGAAAAGTAAATAAATTTATCATAGATACTGGATGATAAGCGAAAAGCAAAGAAAGTGAATGGCATGCATTCATTCATTTTTACCTTGGACATTGTGGTAAAATGACAGCGCATCATTTATATTAAATTAATGATACCACAAGGCACCACACCATCGCACTACCCCTCAGAATACAAGCCGTAAAAGAAGATGCTGACAAAAGATGCTTATTTAATATAAAAATCAAAAATAAAAAAATGAAACCTCCAAGATAAATGATCATTGCGGCGCTGGGACCATTGAAACATATGCTTGCATGTAGTTACACTTTGGAAAAGTAATTTGAACCTCGCTTTCATATTCAGCAAAAACGTTTTTATATCAAATAAATTTAAGCATTTTAACTGTAATGTAAGCAAAGTAGCTAAGTAAGTAAGCATAGTTAAATTTTTTATATATATATATACATACGTGTGTATTAAAAATATAATAAGTAAGATGTTAGGTAGTGCAAAATAAAAAATTATATATAATTACTTTAATTAAATTAATTAAATAAATTTCAAAAAACTTATAATACACATCAAAATAAAATTATTTTATATATGTATGTATTATCATAAACCATTAATAAACTCCCTTGTGTAATCTCTTTTATTGTATATTGAAAAGAGAAATACTTCACCATCATCTTTAGCTAAGTTTTATGTTTCAGCTGAATATAGTTTACTTTTACAGCCCGCATAACAAGCTAAAACTCACACAAAATAATAATAAAAATTCATATTAAATTCGGAGCTATAAAACCCTAGCAAATATAAATTTACTGCTGTATTCATAAAATTTGTATCAGAATAAAACATGAAAAACTCTGTAAGAACGCTAAAGTTGGGTAAACAAATTCTCATTTTTATTACAATTTATAAAAAGCATAAATCTTTAATATTTAGATAAATTGGTGCAGAAGAAAAATTGCGCACTACGTGGCGTATGAGTAACGCGCAGAAGACTGCATAAGCGTATGCAAGGCAAATGAATTATAGACAAAATCGTTAATGGAAAATCATTTATTTTTAATCCAATAGAAAATTATGTATTGTAAAGGACGTACTACTATGTCCTTTACTTATTTTTTTAATTTCATTAATAATTAATTTAAATAAACACAGCTGTGGTAAGAGTTTTATCTATTAGATTGTTATAGCTACCATTATTTTTAATTAGTAAATTCAGTATTAATATTTATTATTGTACAGAAGCTATCTTAAGTATTGATAAAAATTATGTTATTATTAATATAATGTGTACAAGGAAGTTATTGTAATAATCATATTATTAACTAAGTAATAAAAAATAAGTTATTAACTTATTAATAGAGTTCCACAAAAGATCAATCTGGTCGCAGTGCTCTACTCCATCGGGAGCTAGTATCCCGTTCATTCCTATTAAAAGAGTAACAATTATTTTCAAACGTTACATATAACAACATTTTTCTTTTCAAAATGTAGATATCCAATCTATCTATATTTGGAATAGCGGATTGTAGATAGATAAATCTTGTAACCTGTAACATAAGTAGAATATTATGGCATGATGAATACAATTCTAAGCAGACTTCATAGCTGATAAACAGTAATAAATAAAATGTGTATAACTTTACCTATAACAGCCATTACTTTAGATTAATTACTATTTTTGTAAGTTTTAAGAGGACGTTTCTGGTGATACTTATTTGGAATTGGTCAATGTAACTGTAGTTTCTCTATTTCATTTTTTTTAAATTTGTCAGATTTTAATCTATATGATATTACACAAATTAATAATTAATTTAAATAAAACACACAACCGTTTTCATATGCTCACTTCAATAACCCGAGTAAAAGTGTACGAGCTTCAATTATCACGTTAAAAGCTACAAAGGCCAAATGGGATTTATCCAAACAAACAAGTTGATGTCCTGGTTAGTAACAATAACTTGGTGATAACTTACATTGTTATATCCGTGCGTATGAAGTGGCAGCCGAATGAGTTAAGGAAGCTGGGTAAAAGTTGAAACCAATTTTAGGTGTTAGCAAACATCACTTCAAAAGCCTAGCAAAACTAAATTATATGAATTAACCCAACTACAAATGGTCTCAGAGCAAGTGGATCACCCTGGAAAAAC